CCCAGGAGAAAGTGCAGTGCTGTGATCAAGGCTTACTGCAGACTCTACCTCCCAGGATCCAGCAATCCTCCTCCTTCAGCTTCCTGAGTAACTGAGACAAGAGGCACATGCTTCACAGTTGACTAATTACAAAAAATTTGTTGTGAAGATGGGGAGGTTTCCTTATGTTGCCCAGGCTGGTCTTAATCTCTTGGGCTCAAGCAATCTTCTCAGCTTAGCCTCTAAAAATGCTGAGATTATTTATAGGCATGAGCCACACTGCATCCGGCCCTTTGTTCATTTTTTAATTGGGATATGTTTTCTTATTATTCAGTAGATTGTGTTTCTTTTAAATTTTGGTTATTAGGCTCAATGTATAATTTTCAATGTTTTTTTTTCCTAATCTTGTCTGTTGTTTCTTTTGCTGTGCAAAACGTTTCAGTTTGATGCCATCATATTTGTTTACTATATCTTTTATTATCTATGCCTTTGAGGTTATTAAAAGAAAATACTTGCCCACAGCATATCATAAGATTTTTTCTATGTTTTCTTCTAGTACTTTCACAGCTTGAGGTTTTAAATTTAAGTTTTCAATCCATATTTAGTTGATTCTTGTATAAGGGTAAGATAATGGTCCATTTTTAACCTTCTGTATATAATTACTCCATTTTTCTAACACCATTTGCTTTTTTCCCTAACACTATTTGTTGAAGAAAACATTGAGTATTTTCAATGGGGAAAAGGCAGTCTCTTCAACAAACAGTGTTAGAAAAACCGGATAACCACATACAGAAAAAGAAAATTTTTGTCAAGCATTAATTAACTGCAGATGCATTGATTCATTTCTGGCCTCTCTTGTTCCATGTTGGTATGTCTGCTTTGATGCCAGTGCCATGGAGTTTTGATGCTAAAGCTTTGTATTATATTTCAAAATCTGGTAGTGTGATGCCTTCAGCTTTGATATTTTTGGTCAAGACTGCTGGCTATCCAGAGTTTCTGTGGTTCCTTACCATATTTTTTCTATTTCTGCAGAGTGAAATTAGAATTTTAATAGGGATTGCACTGAATCTGTAGATTGTTTTTAGTATACACTTTTAAACAATAATAATTCTTTCAATTCATAAGCATATCTTTCTCTTCATTTCTGTCATGTAGAATAACTTTTATCAATGTTTCATAGTTTTTAGTATACAGATCTTTCACATTCTTATTAAATTTACTCCTATTTATCTTATTTTACTTCACTGTGAGTATTCTTATTTTTTAGTCAGTTTGTTTTTAATGTGCAGTAACACTTTATTGTTGAGTGGGCATCCTCATCTTGTTCCTGATCAAGAGACACAAGAAAAGGCTTCAACTTTTCACCAGTGAATATAATGGGAGCTGTGAACATGTCATATTTGGGCTTTATTGTGTTGAGAAACATTCCTTCTATACCTAATTTACTGAGTTTTTATCATAAAAGGATACTAAGTTTTGTCAAATGTTTTTTATGCATCAATTAGAATTACTGTGTTGTTTTCGTCTCTCATTCTGTAAAAATGGTAAATCGCACTTACTGGCCGGGCGCGGTGGCTCAAGCCTGTAATCCCAGCACTTTGGGAGGCCGAGACGGGCGGATCACGAGGTCAGGAGATCGAGACCATCCTGGCTAACACAGTGAAACCCCGTCTCTACTAAAAAATACAAAAAACTAGCCGGGCGCGGTGGCGGGCGCCTGTAGTCCCAGCTACTCGGGAGGCTGAGGCAGGAGAATGGCGTGAACCCGGGAGGCGGAGCTTGCAGTGAGCTGAGATCCGGCCACTGCACTCTAGCCTGGGCGGCAGAGCGAGACTCCGTCTCAAAAAAAAAAAAAAAAAAAAATCGCACTTACTGATTTTAATATGTTATGCCATCCTTGCAACCCAGGAATAAATCCCACTTGATCATAGTGAACGATCCTTTTTAATGTACTGTTGAATACAGATTCATATTATTTTGTTGAGGATTTTTGCATCTATGTTTATCAGTAATACTGGTTTGTAGTTTTCTTTTATAGTATTTTCTTTATCTGGCTTTGGTTTCAGGGTGATGCTGGCCTTATATAATTAGTCTTGAAGTCTTCCCTCCTCTTCAACTCTTTGAAGGAGTTTGACAACAATAGGAATTAGTTCTTCTTTAAGTGTTTGGTAGAGTTCAGCTGTAGAGATACCTGTTCCTGGAATTTTCTCTGGTGGGAAATTTTATTTACTAAATCAATTTCCTTACTCCATTATTCTGTTAAGATCTGCACTTTCTTCATGATTCCATCTTGGTAGGTTTCTAGGAATGTATGTACATCTAGTTTGTCTGATACCTTTCTGCATAATTGTTCATAGTAAGTCTCGTGGGCCTTTATATTGTCTTATTAATGGTAATATCCAATTTTACATTTATGAATTTGAGTCTTCTCTTTTTTCATAGTCTAGCCAAACATTCATCAATTGTTTACCTTTTCAAAATACTACGCATCTTAGTTTCATTGATATTTTCTATTTTTTCTAGTCCAAATGTATTTCTGCTCTTTGTTAGTTCCTTTCTTCTGCTAAATTTTGACTTACTTTGTACATTTTTTTCCCTAGTTCTTTAAGATGTAACTTTGGGTTATTTTAGATCTTTCTTTTACTTGATGTAAGCATTCATTGCTATAAAATTTCCCCTAAGAACTGCTTTTACTGTATATAACATATATTCATAAGTTTATCCATTTTTATTTCTCTCATAGTATTTTGTAAATTTCTTCTTTAATTTCTTCTTTATGCAGTTTTCATTAGTAGTTCAGGAGCATATTATTTAATTTCTACATCTTTGTTAACATTTTATGATTCTGTTGTTAATTTCTAGCTTTATAACATTGTGGTCAGAAAAACACTTGATATAAACTCAATACTGTCAAATTTCTTATTACTTGTTTTGTGGTCTAGCATATGATGTATCCTGGATAATGCTATGTGTGCACATGAAAACAATATGTTTCTCTTGGATTGTATGTTCTACAAATGTTTGTTAAATTCATCTGGTCTGAAGTGTAGTTTCAGCTCCGTGTTTCCTCATTGATTTTCGGTCTGGATTATCTGTCCAGTGTTGAAAATGGGGTACTGAATTTCTCTAGTATTACTGTGTGGCAGTGTATGTCTCCCTTCAGATCACTTAATGTTTGCTTTATATGTTGAGATGCTCTGCTGTTGGGTACATATATATTTACAACTGTTATATCCTGTCGCTGAATAGACCCTTTTATGACTGTATAATGACATTCATCATCATCTTTTTACAGTTTGTGACCTAACATCTATTTTGTCTGAGATAAACATAGCTACCTCTGTTCTCTGCTTTTCTTTTCATTTGCATGAAATAACTTTTTCCATTTCTTCACTGTCACTCATGAACGTCATTTAGCATTAAGTGAGTCTCTTATATGCAGCATATATTGAGTATTGTTTTATGTTATCCACTAAGCCACTCTCTACATTTTGAAACTATTAGTTTGTTCTTGCACTGCTAAAAACAAATACCCAAACTAGGTAATTTATAAAGAAAAGAGGTTTAATTGACTCATGGTTCAGCAGGCTGTAAGCATGGCTGGGGAGACTAGATCTTACAATTATGGCAGAAGGCAAAGAGGAAGAAAGTACGACTTACATGACTGGAGTAGGGGGAAAACAGAAAGAAGGGGGAGGTGCTACACACTTTTGCAAACAACCAGATCTCATGAGAACTATCACAAGTAGCAGCAAGGGAGAAATCCACCCTCATGATCCAATTACGTCCATCCAGGCCCCTCTTCCAACACTGGGGATAACTGATGCATGAATTCAGTAAAGTTGAAGGATACTAAAATAAGCTAACAAAAGTAAACAGTGTTTCTATATACCAATAAACTATCTGATAAAATTTTAGAAAACAATCCCAAGTGCAATAGCAACAAAAAATTAAATACTTAGGTGTAAATTTAATCATTTTATCTTTTGTAAAAAGATAAAAAGCCCTCTATATGAAAAACCTATAAAAAACCAATGAACTACAGTTTAAAAACAAAATAAAAAGATATCCTATGTTCATGAACTGGAAGAATCGATACTGTGAAAATGTGCAAAAGGTAACATATTTAATGCAATCATTATCAAAATTCCAATGTCATTCTTTTTTTTCTTTTTCTTGAGACGAAGTCTCACACTGTCACCACGCTGGAGTGCAGTGGCGTGATCTCAGCTCATTGCAACCTCCGCCTCCCCGGTTCAAGTGATTCCCCTGCCTCAGCCTCCCGAATAGCTGGGACTACTGCCACCACACCCAGCTAATTTTTGTATTTTTAGTACAGACATAGTTTCATCATGTTGGCCAGGATGGTCTCGATCTCTTGACCTCATGATCTGCCCACCTTGGCCTCCTAAAGTGCTGGGATTACAGGTGTTAGCCACCATACCTGGCCTCCAATGTCATTCTTTTACAGCAACGAAAACAAAATTTTGAACATTTGTATGAAACAAAGACTCCCAACTAGCCAAAAGAATCTTGAGCAAAAAGAACAAAGCTGGAGACATCCTACTACCTGATTTCAATACATATTATAATACAATTGTAATCCAAATAGCATCGTACTGGCATATAAATGGACACATTGGCTAAATGAACAGAATAGAAAACCCAGAAATAAACCCACATGCTTACAGTCAACTTATTTTTAACAAAGATGCCAAGAACACACAATGATGAAGAGACAGTCTCTTCGATAAATGGTGTTGCAAAAATGGAATATCCACCAGAAAAATAAAATTAGACCCTTAACTTACATCATATTGAAAAATTAACTCCAAATAAAGACTTAATACAACACTTGAACTGGAAAACTACTGGAAGAAAACACAGGGCTAAAGCTCCATGACATTGGTCTAAGCAATATCATTTTTAATATGACACTGACAGCACAGTCAACAAAAGCAAAAACAAGACAAATTTCTTGTGGCTCATGTTTTGAATTTCTGGTCATTACTTAATCTGGTCATTACTTTCTGGCACTTCGTGGCACTTTCTGGCACCAAGAGGTGCATCCACCTTCTTACCTGCAGGGTTTGCAAATAATTGCCTGTTTCATCCTCTGCTTGGTGCTCTCTGGCGTTCTTGGGATCTACATCCTGATGGAAATGTAATGCTCTGGAACCCTGGACATGCATGAACCAGCACATAGACTCTACTTACGGGCAGCAACACAGCCGGAAGTATAATAATCACAGTTAGACAGGAATAAATATTTTATATCTGCTTCTCAGAGATCTGAATTCCATTAAAATGGATTCATGGGTGTTGGTGAATTAGGGTTGTGAATTGATAACAAATCTCTCCCCTTTCAGTTATAAACCAACTTGGAAATAAAAACAAGAGATTATATCAATATTCAAAGACATCATTCCTGGTAAAGCTGATTTGGAAAATATAGCTTAATGCCTTGACCAAAAAAAGATTTTCAAATATTTCTCCCAGTCTTGACTTTGGAACCTGAACAAAGTAAAATTTCATCCACCCAGTGCAGGGAAGGTCTTCACCTGCCTTCCACCTCTCTCCTGTGCAGAGTCCAAAGGAGAGAGATCAGATGAGCTCACTGAACACTGACATATCAACCTTTCTGACAGGCAAACATGGACCAATGGATGTAAAATTTCCCAGCCACCAAATAAGTCAACATCTCCTGACTGTGGGCATGAGCCAGATCAAGGTGAAGTGTTGGCAGTGTTTCTACTCAACACTTGTGAGAAAACAGAAGGTCTTGTCAGCGGGTAAACAGAAATGCCATTGGGGGTGGGGGATGGTATGTGTTTCTCATTAGTGACATTTTTTCATTCATCTAGTATATGCTGAGTGTTTCCCCTAAAATAACTGACCTTCAGAAAGATGATTCCCCTCACAATTGCTTTGAGTATTTTTCTTTTTGTGTTGAAAAACTGATGTTGATTTGTGGTTCAGATAGTGTGCGTTGAAATAATGGGGGGAGTCTCTGTATGAAAGGAAAAGAAAGTTTCTTTCCTCCTCACTGTTTCCAGAGACATCTGCTCAGGTTATGAGTTTTCCCATTCATGGGATGAGTCCCCTCAACACACTCCACAATTCTGTGTATGATCATTTGAAGTATATATCAGAGTGACACTTGGAAGCACGGTTATAAAAATATGCATTTGTCAAATAAAAATGTAAAAAAATGTTAAAAAGGGAAAACAGATGAGAAAGGCAGTGACTATAGTTATGTCAACAGCGACAAACACTGGAGTTTTAGTCAAATATGTGCCATCTTTGTAATAGATTTTGACATGTAAATTCTAAATTATCTTCTTCTTTATAAGTAAATGTGAAGCTTAATGACATGGCATCTGTTAGTATCTTAGGCCATTTATTGAAGGTACGTGAGCTAAATCCTTTCAAGGCACGTGAGCCAGTGCTCCTGAGGAAAGCAGTGACATACATGCTTTCTCCTGATGTCTCCAACTATGTAAAACTTCATTAAAGCTACTCCTGAACAATATAAAGGAAGTTCCCTCAGTAAGACAAATCCTAGTCTTTTGCCCCAGGAGAGAGAATGTGGATTATAGAAAAATAGTGGGTGTGAGTAAAGCGGAAAATTATTTGGATAATGAGAGTATATCTTTTTCTTTGGGGCAAGGAAGCGAATCATGAAAACAAGACTGGAATATAGAAATATGATACTAATATATATGGTAAATTATTGAGAAAAGAGCCTGATAAAACAAAATTTTAAAACACACAAACAATAAAGAATACAAGATTTAGAACAAAGTTTATCAAAAAAGTGTAAAAAAATACATTCATGTTCAGAATATATAAAGAACTCTTACAAATTAATAACAAAAAGGCATCAATTAAAACATGGTCAAAGGAGGATAATGACCAGGTTTTTCATCCAAGAACATCGACAATGTCCAGTAACCACATGACAAGATGCTCAACATCAAAGGGAAAGGCAAATCAAAACCACAGTGAGGTACCACTTCACACCACTAGAATGCCTATAATAAAAAAGATGAAAAATAAATACTGGAAAAGATATGGAGAAACTGGAACCCTCATACACTGCTGGTGGAAATGTAAAATTGTACAGCTGTGTTGAATAACAGCCTGACAGTTCCTTGAGATTAAACACAGTTACCATTTGACCTCGATTCCCACTCGAGTATTCACCCAAGAGGAACATATATCCACATATGTGTCCACAGTACATTATTCATAATAGTTAAAACCTGGAAACAATCCAAATGTCCATCAACTGTTAAATAAAATGTGGTATTTCTCTGCAATAGAAAATTGCAAATAAGAGGAAATAAACTACCGATACATGCTGTACAATATAGATGAGCCTTGAAAACATTATGCTAAGTGAAATAACCCAGACACAAAAAGCCAATGTTTTATGATTTCAGTTATATAATATACCTGGCATAGGTAAATTCATAGAGACAGAAAGTAGAATAGAGGTTACTAGGGATGAAGAGAGGGATTATGGGAAGATGTTTAATGGGTACAGAATTTCTTTTAGGGATGATGAAAAACTTCTAGAAATGGATAGTGATTGTTGTATGACATTGTGAATGTACTTAATGCCACTGAACTATGGAGTCAAAAATTGTTAAAACGCTACATTTTATGTTATGTATATTTCACCAGAACTTTCAAAAAGAATTGACAAAGTTTAGAGCATTTTAAACAGAATACAAGATTTAAGCTAAAAAATTCAAGAAAAAACATTTAAAAATTATTTTAAATTAAATATCAACTTAACTTTCTCCCCCAAATCAATTAATCCTTTAATTATATTAACAACGTAAAAAACCATATGATTATGTATTAGATGCAGAAAAAGCATTTGAGAAAACTGAACATTTTTCATTTAAAAAAAAAACTCAACAAACTGGGGATACAAGAGAATTTCCTTGACATGTCAAAGGGCATCTTTAAAATACCTAATGCTAACATCCTGTGTAATGATGAAAGACTGAATGCTTTCCCCTAAGATGGAGAATAAGACAGGCATGTCAGCTCCTACCACTTCTATTCAACACTGTACTGCAGATTCGAGCCACTGTAACCACTTTTTAAAAGGGAGTTGGGAGAAGGAAGAAAGGAAGGAAGGAAGGAAGGAAGGAAGGAAGGGAGGAAGAAAGAAATGGAGGAAAATAAAAAGCATCTAGACTGAAAAGAAATACGTAAAACGGTCTTTATTTGTAGAAATAATCATCTATATGGAAAACCAAGTGAAATCAATTATAACGTTACTGACACCAGTGAGTTTTGCCACATTGCAGGATACATGATCAATATACAAAAATCAATTATAATTCTATATGTTAGAAATAAACTGCTAGGAATTGAAATTTTAAAAATAATACTATTTATAATAGCATTAAAATAAAATTCTTGGGAATATATCTGGCACACTATGCAAAATATCTGTACAATGATAACTAAAAAGTATTATTGAGAAAAATCAAAGAAGATCTAAGAAAATACCTTATTCATGGGTTGAGAGACTCAACATTGTTAAGATGTTCATTCTTTCTCATGACGTAATGTAATTACAGCCCAAATCCAAGCAGGTATTTTGTAGAAATTGACAATTGGTTTTAAGACTCGCATGGCATGTAGATGACACAGAAATGCACAATAACTCTGAAAAAAACAAAAGAATAAATTTAGAGGAAAATACAACCCAGTTTGAAGAATTATTACAAAGCTACAAAAATTGTAACAGTGTGATTTTGGCATAAAGATAAAGAGATCAATAGAACAGAACAGAATCCAGAAACCAGGTATACATAAAACGCGCGCGCGCGCGCGCGCACACACACACACACACACACACACATGCACGCACTCTCACACTCTCTCTCTCTCTCTTATAATATGACTGGTCAAGTGACTGCTTATGAACTGTAATTGCTTGATACATGAGTCTCGCATCTCTTGGCCTTAAATCGCTACCATAACTTTGAGAAGCTGATGATACCTTTGTTTTCTGAGAACAGTTGCAGTGTGCAAGCTGACAGTTCCATAGAGATGGAACAAGTGTAGAGCCAGGGGAAAAAAAGGGATACACACAGACTTCTTAAGATTTTTTTAAAAGCTATGGAAGATGATAAACTAATGAGGCCTAAGTATACTTTTCATTATGAATGTTTATGTTGTCACATCTTTCAGTAATGTGTGTAAGTATTTTATGTGGTATTTGTTAACCAAGCAACCCATTCACTATTTACATTTACTTCAGAAATCCATGATTTAAATTTAATTCATAATTTTTGGCAACATACCTTCATCTACTTCTGCAGTTATGTTTTCTTGCACACCTGCTGCATCTGAAAAAGTCAAATATTATTAATAATGTTTAAGTTAAACAAGAGACATTATCATGTAGCCCTTTTGTAAGTCAAGGAGCATCTCTAATCTGGGTTGATCATTCCTAACTTGAAAATCTGAAATCCAAAACGCTCTACAATCTGAAACTTTTCAAGCACATGCATGATACCACAACTGGAAAGGTCCACACCTGACCTCATGTGACAGGCTGTGATGGAAACACAGTTAAAACTTTGTTACATGCAAAACATTTTTGTAAAACACTATACGGGCCAGATGTGATGGCTCACGCCTGTAATCCCAGCACTTTGGGAAGCTGAGGCGAGTGGATCACCTGAGGTCAGGAGTTCGAGACGAGCCTGGCCAACATGGTGAAACTGTCTCCACTAAAAATACAGAAATTAGCCTGGTGTGGCTGCACGCACCTGTAGTCCCAGTTACTTGGGAGGCTGGGGCAGGAGGATTGCTTGAACCTGGGAGGCGGAGGTTGCAGTGAGTTGAGATCATATCATTTCACTCCAGTCTGGGCGACAGATCAAGACTCTGTGCCCCACCGCACCCCCACCCCAGGCAAAAAAAAAAAAAAAAAAAAGAAAATATCTTCAGGCTATGTGCATAAGATGTATATGAAACATAAATGTATTTTGCATTTACACTTGGGTACCATCCCTAAGGTATTTCATTAGGTGTATACAAATATTCCAAAATCTGAAAAAATCCACTTTTGGTCCTCCCAAACATTTTGGACAAGGGATATTCAATCTGTCCTATGAGAAAAATAAAATTCCTTTTCAGTGTGACAGAAAATAAGAGATTGACTTATCAAACTTGAACTTACCAAAATTTTCTGAAGCTGCTCAATTTTGTTCGCTCGCTTTTTCATTCTAATTTTTAACATGGCATTTTCTATTTTAAGCCTAAAATATATATTTTAAAATAATTGTCAGACATAATTTTTAAAAAAATCATATAAATTGTGAACAAACATCTGAAGGAATAATTACATAAATTCTGAGATATTTGAAAAGTAGAAAATTGAGCAACTGTTATTTTTCTACCTTTGTTTTGTGGATGATGTGTAAAATTAAAAATAATGTAGAAAATTTATGCATTTCAAAATAGCTTAAAGCTGAAATTTTTCCTTGGCTTCACACAGACATACTTATTATCTTAACTGATATATTTCTCATACTACACTACTCATTTGCTTTATAAATACTCAAGATATTTTGTATGCTGCTTTAAACTGTACTTTTGCACGTGGTCTGGCATCTCCTCAGCACATCTTAGAGTCTCTGTGAGTTCATCCTGGATTTCTTGCAACTAAAACAAAGAATTAAAAACAACCTTTAGGTGTGGAAATAACCCAAATGCCCATCAATAGGTGAATGAATGAACAAAATATGGTTATATATAAAATACTGTTTTAGACTATCACAATCTATTTTATTAAAAAATGATAATCTAGGACAAATCGACCTATTACCTGTTTTAACTAAATTTTACTGGAACGCAGCCACACCCCTTCAGTCTGCATATTGTTTATGGCTACTTTTGTGCTGTAACTGTAGTGTTGAGCTGTTGCAACAAGGATCTTATCGCTCACAAAGTCTCAAATAATACTACCTGGCCCTTTACAGAAAAGTTTACTGACCTATGCTCTACGATTAAAACACAGTATTTTTCTTTTTAAATTTATATTTTATCAAATACTCACATTTACAAAATTGGTAAAATGGGGAAATATAGGAAATTACTTTATAGTAAGCATTTATATTTTTCAATTCCAAACACCACTATATCAACTATAATTTCATTTCTTTTTTGTCTATATCCATTTACTTTTGTTATATCAAGAAAACTTGCACTTTTTTTTGGGGACGGAGTCTCACTCAGGCACCATCTTGGCTCACCGCAATCTCCACCCACCGGGTTCAAGCGATTCTCCTGCCTCAGCCTCCTGAGTAGCTGGGACTACAGGCATGCGCCACCACCATGCCCGGCTAATTTTTGTATTTTTTTTTAAGTAGAGACAGGATTTTCGCCATGTTGGCCAGGATGGTCTCAAACTCCTGACCTCAGGTGATCCACCCGCCTCAGCCTCCCAAAGTGCGTGGATTAGAGGCGTGACCCATGGCATCTGGCCCATTTTTAACATTTAAAATTAAGCATCATCTTTCCTTTCCAGGGAAACCACAAGGAAATTTTAAAATAAACAGAAAAATAATTAAAATAGACAAGATAAATTTCAGGTAAGATCCTACAGGTTCCGTTGATTCTCCTATTGAGTGGCAGGGCTCACGTCATCATTAGGAGACAATTTATTTAAAAGTGTCATCTTAAACTGCAGAGAGTCCATTGACCATGCCAAAGGAGAAGCCATGTTGTCAAAATGCCCACTTGACCCACCCAAACATCTCAAACCTACCCTTTGTTGACCTCCTATAACCCCATTTATAAATTTTTGTGTTTTCATTTTTTTAAACAAGAGAAAGTAGACACATACATGTTGGCAAATGCTAACTGTCCATAGTTCTATGACTATGACTATAACCCAATATAAAGTCAGAGTAAGGATTTTCATCAAAATACTAATTTATTCTGTAGAATGGCCTTTCCGTACAAGTTAACCAGAAACCATGAAATAAGTAAGCACAAATCTTTATTCACACAGAAAAGTAGAGATTAAAAAAAGAAAATTTTCTGAAACATTCCATTAGACATTATCCTCTGAATTAATCTGGCTTGTCTCCACGTGGCAATGAAAAAAATCACTAAAAATATACTGTAAAAAGAAAAAATAATTCTCTAATCTTCTGTGAGAAATGATGTGTAATTCTCAACTTTCATAAGGGGAAATACTAAGAAAAATATTTGTAATTATAAAACATGGCAGAGATTGAGAAATGGGTATATTATAATCAAATTTTAACAAAATTAATTATAATGAAAATACAAAAGAAAGCTCTCCACTGAAACTAGTGTCCTGAAACACTTGATATTATTTAACCAGCTACAGAGTAACTGTTGACATGCTAAGTTTCATACATACTTGACTTCTCAGCTGGTCTAATTTCTTTTTTGAATCTCGTGTCTCATCTTCTAAATTATGGTGACATTGTGATGAAATCTCTAGCATAGCTTCTGACAGTGACTGTTTGTTCAGGGTATCCCCCACTTCTCGCTGAAGCTGTCTCATGACTACCTGGTAAGATGTTATTTTTGTTACTGATTTTACATATCACCTTATTATTAAATTTTGTTAATAGTATTTAACTCTAACGTATACATTTTGAGACATATCACCACACACATTGATTCTTCTTCTTCATGTGTACACATTCCTATTTATTTCTGAATCCAGTTAAGGATAAAGAAGGTGTTATCTTTGTGTCAAACTGGTGCTGTGTTACTCATACAACAGATTCAGTCTACTGATGAATGTGCAATGCTTAAAAACTTTCTGAGGTCTCAAAAAGAAACAGGCATGTAGGTGGGACTGGTGGTAGTGAATTTTACACTGTGCAATGTTTTCTCTCTTTTTTATAAGAAGAAGCTCAAACCAACCTCAGAGTTCCTCACATATTCAGCCACCAGCTCAAATCATTTCAATAGATTTCCATCTCAGAAGAAAAGTAACATGCCAATGGCCTCAGAGGCTCTAGGTAACCTGGCTTCCACTTCCCTCCCTGACCTCAGCTGCTGTGTCTCTCTTCCCTACTCCCACAATTCCTACCAGCCCTCATTAGTCTAACAATGAGGATCCATTGTGAAACCAATAAATCACAGACAGCTAAGCTTATCTTTGTACTGGACAACATTATATCCAAATGAGAGTCATTGAGCCTTGAAATAAAAATTATGACCATATTATGACTGAAAAATTGAAAGTAAGTTATAAATGCCAGTGGGAAGATTAAATCAAGTATGGTTTGGCTAACATTTACCACATTTTCCCCACATTATAATGTAAGAAAGATGTCTTTAAAGAACGGAATGGTTGTATCAATACATAATTTGAGACTGAATTATTTTCAGATTTAAGTCAAATTGACATGAATAAAAATAAAATTATATCAAGTAAGATACATTAAAAGCTATTGAGGAAGAATAATTATAAAATAGGAAATACACTTTAGTTCATCTGGGAAATGTGGAATTAACTGTGAAAGTAATCCAATTAATTGAATCAATTTCAAAATAACACTTTAGGTATGAATATTTCTTTATATCTGCTTTATCATAATCCTAAAATGTGGCAACATACAGACATTAAAATTATTTCAGCAGTCTAAGACTACATTATAAATATTAGTCTATATTAATATTTTGTAACTGAAATGCTTAAATTTTCCTAAGTGTCACATTGTCTTTACTCAAAGGAAAGCATCTGCTAGCTCTAACTTTTATTTGCTGGAAACAAGTTATGTTTCTAAGGTGATATAGCAGAACTGTTGATCATGTATGTATTTTGATATTCAACTTGATTCAGTGTTTAGCTGTAACCAAATATACTTTAAATTTTACTTCAGAAAGTTTGAAAAATACTTATTTTTCTTGATACTTACTTCTTCTTCTTCTTTCTCTTTTTCATATTGGCATTGTCTTTCTTTTAAAAGAGTGCATTCCTTCATCAACTCCTTATTGTTCTCTTCTAGCTTTCTACACTCAGCTTGAAGTTTTTCTACAGCATCTTCACATTTGGCTCGGATATTAATTATTGTTTTTTCCTGATTGTCAGCTTTCTTGTCAGCATCATTACACTGCTGTTGATACAACAGATTTCGGCTTTGTAGTTGAAATAGTCCATCCTCTACAGATTGCTGCTTTCTCACGTATTTTTCAAAAATAGGTTGGTCATTTTGGTACATGTGCTCAATGTCCTTCAGTTGACACTGTGTTCGGCTTAGGACTCCTTGCATGTGTTCTATAGCCAATGTCTTTTCTTTGAGAGCCTCTCTTTCATAATGGAGCTCAGTTTCCAGGCCATTGGATGTACTCTCAACTTTAGAAAGTTGCTGAGAAAGAATCTGAATGTGAGAATTAATATTTTCTTGTAAATGACACCATTCATTTACTGTGCTCTGGAAAGCAAGCTGTCGGTCTCTTTTTGCTGACTGACATTGATCGTGATCATGTAGGGCAGCAGCCAGTCTACAAGGGTATGATTCCATTTCTGTTTTCAGTCTTTGTGTGCTTTGTTTTTCCTTCTCTAGCTCCAAATTGAGCACTGTATTCTCATCCATCAGAGCACTAAGCTCTTTACTGTAACGGGTTATTGTTTTTGTTAATGTTTCCTCATTCAGCTTTAGAGTCTTTTCAAGGTCTTCATTGTTTTCCTTTATAATTTCAATATCCTTGAAATATTTCTTTTCTGTTTCCTGATTCTGATATTTAATTGTGTCTATTTCCAGCCTGAGTCTGGCAATTTCATCCCGCATCAAGTGATTTTCCTGCCACAGGTCTCTTTCTTTTTCATGAGTATGAGAACTCTAAATAAAACAAAGAAAACTTTCAACTAGCACCCAATAAAATGACATATTATGATTTCTTCTGAAACCAAGTAAGTAATAACCTGTTACATTTATACAATGAAAGAGTTGCCATCTGGATATCCAACTGGAAAAAAAAAAGTTGAATCAAAACCTCAAACCTTTTAGAGCATAAATTCTCAAAAGTTCAAAAATGTATTTGAAGACAATGGATCTATAAAAGAAAAAAAAAAAAAAAAAAAAACCACTAGAAATTACTTAAGAATCTCAGAATTTTTTTTTTAAAAAGGCTTTTACTGAATTTCAACAAACCCCAAAACATAAATGATTAAAAACTATGATTACATTTAGAAACTGGGTTTACACACTAACATCTAACCTTTACTTTCCCTATAGTAAGAGCCTTAGCTCTGCAGATATCTGGACAGATGAAATTTTCCAAATTCCTTAAGTTTATTTTTTCTGTGAATATTTTATAGATAATTCTACTTTTCTTACATTTTTAGAGTCAGTTTTACCAATGACATGTATTGATAAATGACAGATCTGGGCATTGTACTAAGCACTTTTGTATGCATACATCAATAAATTCATTTAGTTATCACAATTCTGCAAGGAAAGGTCAAAAACAGAAGCAAGTTCCTGGATTTTTCCTAGGTCCTCTGACTCTGCTTCTAGTGCTCCTCCACCAGATCACAGTTACTTCCATGGGGTAGACATGCAAATACAATAGAAACCTTTTCTTTCAAAACACCAAAGAAGATAAAATTTATAAAGCTCTTCTTAGGAAATCCTGAGATCATATACTATTATGATAACTTTTATATCCTTTTCACAATGTTTGAAACCATAATTAATGTGAAATAGGGAAAACTACACTGAACTATGTCACTAGGAACAAATTACTTATCAACAAAATATCACTAAGTATATATTATGGGTTATCATCGTTTTCCAAAAGTCTTTGAGCTGAAATAAAATATAATTTTGAAGCCAAGATTTATAATAAATAATTGCAGTTGTAAGTTTCATTTAAGATGAAATAAAATTTGTAGTTTGTTTTAGAACTACATCATATATATAAAGTCAAAGGGATATTCTAAGTCATATTAATAAAATAATATTAGAAATGTAAAATTTTACCAAACATTAATTTACCTCATTTGAGTTACTTCTTACAGTCTTCAGTTCCACTTCCAATGATTTGAGAGTCAGTTGAAGTTGTTTTTTCACTTCAGTTTGTGTCCTGTACTGCTCTTCCATTATTTTTAACTCTTCCGTATCTTTTTCATACAACTCTTCAGCCTTTCTTCTTTTTTCTTCTTCTTCTTGTAAGATACAGCTGTAGTTAAATATACTTATCTTAAAATCCTTTAAAAACAAAACACTCATATGCTGGTTTACTATCCTAATAAAGTGCCAATGTTCTTGAATATTTTTTCTTTCTAGTTTTCATGTTAATATCTCACTTCGATATATTCCAAAGAACATATATAAATTGAAAGGTAGTAAGGAATATCCTAATTGATTAGCTTCTGTTATTATTAATTCTAGTAAATATTATGGAAAAGGATGTTGAAAATTATTAGGTAAAGCTACAAGTTAAAAATTACCTTTTCTTCACACAGTAATAATTACTCCTCAGTCAGGATGAATCGTTTAGAGTTAGCTAATTTTAAAAAAAGGTTTTTTTTAATAAACAAGTTGATACCTTCACTAGAAATAAATTTGCATCTTCATGAAATATTGCAACTGTCCCTAAACATGATTTACATTGTAAGATAGCACCTTCAGATGTCTTCTTGCAACATATATCTCCAGATGACAATAATCCAAGACTAAGCTAAGGAATCTAAGATGTTACCCATACGTTTTATGTTTCTTTTTCTGGTAACACTTTTGACTTATTCTGTTGATTAGTATGTATTTTACAAGCAATTTTAAAATCCATTCTCAAACAAGACAAGATCTAATATTTAAACAATAAAGAATAATATCTGCCTTCCACATACAAGTTTGAATTAATTTAAACTGTGTAGCACAGACAGATGTTGACTAAGCTAATCAGTAATCACTTTCCATTTTACTTTTCATTCACTGCATATTAAGAGTAAAACTGGGCCAGGCGTGGTTG